ACTTACATAAGGGCACACAGCTAGTAAGGAGCGAGGTGTCTAACTAAGGCGGTCCACACTCTCTTCTTCCCTCCCTTCTCCTCTCTGCCCTTCTCACTGCTGTCAAATGTGGTCATAGAATTCCTTATGTCAGTTTATCTGTCTTGGGGGACATGAAATTTAAATCCTGATATGAAATCTCGGGACTCGGAGATGGCTTCTGGTTCCTGGCTGAGCGTGGAGGCATACCGAAGTGGAGATAGGCTATAGAATTAGGTCAGTCGGGATGCCCGTCAACAATTTGCAACTTAGCTTCGTGACTTCTGGCAGATTACTTTGATCTTTAAAGTGTTCATTTATTTATTAAAAAAGTTGTTTGAGGGGCGCTTGGGTGGCTCAGTCAGTTAAGCATCCAACTTCGCCTCAGGTCATGATCTCAGTTTGGGGGTTCAAGCCCTGTGTTGGACTCTGTGCTGACAGCTCCGAGCCTGGAGCCTGCTTTGCATTCTGTGTCTCCTCTCTCTCTGCCCCTCCTTTGCTCATGCTCTGTCCATCTCTGTCTCTCAAAAATTAATAAACGTTAAAAAAATTTTTTTTTAAGTTTTTTTGAGAGAGCGAGAGAGGGAATGAGTCGGGGAGAGGGGCAGAGGGAGAGAGAGAATCTCAAACAGGCTCCACGCTCCGTGCAGAGCCTGATGCAAGGCTCGATCCCACGACCCTGGGATCGTAATCTGAGCTGAAATCAAGAGTTGGATGCTCAATGGACTGAGTCACCCAGACGCTCCGATTACGTTGATCTCTAAGTGGGGTTTTGTGAGGGTTGACAGTTTACCTACTGGGACATTGTCTGGGGCCACGATAGGCAGGCAGTCGGTGCCTTCGTTCTGTCCTTCCTTGGTCTGTATCTTAAGCAGTGAGCTTAGGCCTGAGGGTACAGAGACGAGTGAGCGCTGGTGCCTCTGAGGAGTTTACAGAATGGCCTGGGTGGGGCCTGGGGAAGTTTCTAGATTGGGAGCCAGGGAACCTGCGTTCTGGCCAGTGCTGGCCCTCCTGCCTCAGAGACACTGGACAGGTGAAGCTCTGAGCTTCACTTTTGTCACCTGTCAACCGGCCCCACCTGCCTTGTCATTTTCTGACTTGTCGCATTTAGGTCAGGACACGCCGGTGCCTGAGGGGCTGGCGTGGTAGCCGGTGGGTCCGGTGCACCGGCTTTTCCCTCGAGGCCGCTCCTGTCCTGGCTGCAGCCCCTGTCGGCAGGGCCCTGGGGAGGCCTCGCGGGTCTGTCCCGAAGCAGGAGTGGTGGAAACAAAGGCAGCTTCTGATTCTCTTCAGCCGGTCAGGATCCGAGGGTGGCACGTGGTGTGGGTGAGAACTGAGCGGGAGGCACCTCTTCTCGTGTGTGACTCCACACCCAGGGACAAAGTCACGGGCGCTGCGCTCCTCGTTCGCTTGCTGAAAATTATCCTTGTTTAAAAGGGGATGCAGGCGGATGGAGCTGCCTGTCGTGTGTCTTGCTGGCTGAGTGGCTGAGGGGGACAGGAGCCGGCCCTGGGGTCCTCAGTGTCCCACAGCCTCCTGGGGAAGCCGGGAAGTAAACACCTGGATGAACCATTCAGCCCCCCTTTCCCCTTCCCCACACGAGTGCCTCTGAGTGGGAGGCGGTCCCTTCACCTCAAGTCTAAGGTCCTCGTAAATGGAGTTAATATCCTGTAATTACGCGGATGTATTGCACTTAGCAGGCCGGTTTAAAGAAGGGTAGCAAAATGGGTCCTCTTTTAACAGTATGACCTTTACGGGGCAAGTTAAGTCCCAAAGCCAGCCAGTGTCAGGACTCTGAAGAGGCTCCAGGGTTTTATTTCTTCTTTGCCTCATTCGCTGGTTTGCATGGATCTTTCCACATTCTAGTGGCTCTTGCATAGCCCCTGAGACTCTCTGGAATGCAGCAGGCCTGTTTTGACTTACTGGTAAATTGGTCACTGTCGGTTCACCCTGAGAAGCAGGTGGAGGGGCAGAGCACTCTAAAAGGAAATGGTACACGAGCCTGCTTTCTTTTAAAAAAAATTTTTTTTTTCAAGAGGTAGTCCAAGCCAGTCCTTTTTTGGCTCTTGGTCTTGCAAGTTCATTGCCAGTGTGGCCGCTGTCTGCAGACAGCAGCTGGTATCTCATATGCCCTCTTGATGGGTCGCCTGGGTGCCTGTCCCCAAGCCCCGGGCTTCTGCTGATGGGGACAGCGTGTGTAACTGGGGGCGGCCCCTTGGTTCCTCCTTCTTCAGACGCCGTGGCTGGGGCTGCAGCATGTCTTCCCCTCCGGACCTGGAGACTGACACGTACGGCTGGAGTCCGTCTTCTTCTTTCAGTATTGGTTCGCGGGAAGCAGCAGCATTAGCTGGAGGGAGACGTGACAATGAGAATACGTCCTCGAGAAAAAAGTGACTCTAACCTTAGTGCTGTTCCCTTCGTCCTTTACTCTGACCAGCTCCCAGACTCGCTTTAACTCAGTGATTTAGATTTTAGGTTTGCTCAAGAATTAGAGACTGAAATGATAGGAACAGAGGCTCTGAGGAAAGCGAGCTTTGGGTGCCAGCAGAAACGGGACCCCACTTGAGGGTCTTGGGTCTGCCGTTCTGCTGGGCACGACCTCATGTCGTCTCTTGTCAGTCCTGTGCAGTCAGCACCGCTAACAGCCGTGGACGCTTGAACTCAATGTGCCCCGTGTCACCCAGCTGGGGAGGGGCTGTTAAGACTCGACCCCGGTTCACTCCAAAGCCATTGCCATTAACCACAAAGTGATTAAGTCCTAGGAACTGCTCAGGGGACAGTATCCTTGAACCCATTCTGCAGGGTAAGTTAGATTTAGATAAGCAGAGAGGAAGGAAAAGGAAGGGAATTCTGGGGAAAGGGAAGCAGTAAATATAGTCAGAAGGTGGGGAGACGGAAGAAGCATGGGCTGGAGCCGTGCCTCCTCTCTGGAAGCCCCACAGGGCAGTGTCCATGGTGTCCAGAGCCACCATTATATCCCGGATACCTGAGTGAGTGGCTGTTGTGTAGTGTGTGGTCAATAAATATTTATTGCTTAAAAATAGAACTACCCTACAATCCAGTAGTTACACTACTGGGTATTTACACACACAAAAGTACAAAAACACTAAGTCAAAGGGATACAGGCACCCCAATGTTGATCGCAGCATTATTCACAAGAGCCAACCAAGGAAACAACCCAAGTGTCCATCGCCTGATGAATGGATAAAGAAGACATGGTGTATACCTATGTACAATGGACCACTGTTCAGCCCTAAAAAGAACAAAATCTTACCGTTTGCAATGACATGGATGGAGCTGAAGAGTATAATGCTAAGTGAAGTAAGTCAGAGAAAGACAAATATCATATGATTTCACCAATATGGAATTTAAGAAAACAAATGAGCAAAGGAAAAAAATGAGGGAGGCAAATCAAGAAACAGACTCTTAACTATAGAGAACAAACTGATGGTTACCAGAGGGGAGGTGGGTGAAAAGTAGGTGTTAGGGATTAAGAGTACACTTCCTGGGGTGCCTGGGTGGCTCAGTCAGTTGATTGTCACACTCTAAATTTCCTCTTGGGTCATGATGTGAATTTGAGCCCCACGTCAGGCTCCGTGCTGATGGTGCAGAGCCTGCTTGGAATTCTCTCTCTCTCCCTCCCTCTCTGCCCCTCCCCTGTGTTCTCTCTCTCAAAATAAATAAATTTTTAAAAAAGTATATACTTCTCATGATGAGTACTGGATGTTGTATGGAAATTTTAAAAATTTTTCTTAATGTTTATTTACTTTTGAGAGAGAGACAAAGTGAGAGTGGCGGGGGAGGGGCAGAGAGAGAGAGGGAGACACAGAATCCGAAGCAGGCTCCAGGCTCTGAGATGTCAGCACAGAGCCCAATGCGGGGCTCGAACTCACAAACTATGAGATCATGCCCTGAGCTGAAGTTGGATGCTTAACCAACTGAGCCACCCAGGCGCCCCAGGAAGCATTAAATCACTACCTTGTACACCTGAAACTAATTCAATGCTGTGTGTTAATTAACTGGAATTAAAAGTTATTAAAAAACAAAATCAGGAAAGAAAATAAATATTGGTTGTGTGTATGAATACACAGATAGCTGTTTCCTCAGTAGACCTTGAGCCTCTTGAGGGCAGGGATCATGTCTTAGAAATCTGTGAATAAGGGGCGCCTGGGTGGCTTAGTCGGTTAAGCGTCCGACTTTCGCTTAGGTCATGATCTCGCGGTTCGTGGGTTCGAGCCCCGTGTCGGGCTCTGTGCTGATTGTCAGCTCAGAGCCTGGAGCCTGTTTCAGTCTGTGACTCCCTCTCTCTCTGACCCTCCCCTGCTCACGCTGTCTCTCTCTCTCTCTCCTAGAAATAAATAAAAATATTAAAAAAAAAAGAAATCTGTGAATGCTCTACAGCTCTCAGTGGTTAGTAAATAATGAGCACTCAGTAAATATACTCGGATGGAATGAATGAACGAATGGCGGGTAAAGGATGGTGAGATGTACCTGAGTGAGGAGGCAGTGATACTCTGGAAAATACTGAGCAATACACAAGGGCTGGCATGCCAAGGGCATATCATGGAAGGTCTTTAGTGCCAGCAGAAGGAGCTTTTGTGTTCTCCTCGAGGCACTTTTGAAAAAGCCATGTCTTTAATGCACAGTGTCACAGGGTCTACAGAACCCCAGCCAGTGGGGTTATAGGCATTTGTAACCTATAGGTGGTTATAGGCATTTATAACCACATTGAGGCACAACTTAGAAATCACTTTTCTGTAGGAGTGACTTAATCTGTTCCCATTGTCGCTGCCGTCCCCCTTAGGGGTGACCGATGGAGCCCCGCCAAGATGCACGAGTGGGAGCGTGTAGGGTGTTGATGTTATTTCAGGATACCGGAGTTGTTTTTAACACAGTGCGGTGGGAAAATCCCAGCCAACCTCCCCTAAGAAATATTCTGCTTAACCCGGGAGTTTTCAATAAAAGCTGCCATCTCTTTTCAGGTGTGGGCTGACTCTGTGGCTTTAAGAAAGCCCGAGGGCCGGAAGGCAGCCCTGGGAGAAGCCCCTTCCCGTGGGCAGTCGGAACCTTCTGGTGCAGACAAGAAGCCGTCCCCTCACCTGGACTTATGACCCGTGGCTTCGCTCCCAGTCTGCCCACCGAATTCCACAAGATGGGCTCCTTCCGCAGGCCCCGGCCGCGCTTCATGAGCTCCCCGGTGCTCAGCGATCTGCCCCGATTCCAAGCCACGCGGCAGGCTCTGCAGCTGAGCTCCAGCTCGGCCTGGAACAGGTAACGGGGCCCGTAGTCCTGGGGTGGAGGGCGGCCGAGGGCCAGGGCAGGGCCAGGGGACTGGCTTAGCGTCTGCTCCTCCTGAGAGCGCTGCTTCAGAAGGTCGTGATTATATACACGAGCATGTCTTCCTGTGGAGAGCGTGTCCGCTGGCCTTCCTTGTTTGGGTAGAGACGAGGTGGGCCACTGGGCTACCAGAGTCTGTTAAACAGCCTGGGACAGTTGGGTTGGAACTTATCAGTTACTGTTCATGCTCGTTAGTCACACCCCAGACTACTCGAGTCCCCAGGGCTGGGGCCCTGTAAGTAACCTCAAGTCACCTATAACCTATTTGGGAAGATAAGACATATATCTGTGAAAAGCTAAGTGAGTGGTATAAACCAAGGACTAGCAGTACCCGTGAGCCCCAGGTGGACGGGAGGGAGACACTGTGCTTGTCTAAGGTGTCTGGCTGACTGTTGGTACACCAAGCATCAAGTAGTGACTGAATTAACACTGTGTCTTGTGTTTCTGTGGGCACCTACTTTTCAAATCTAGCAGTTACTCTTTGGATGAATTAAATGCATCATGATTTTAAAGCATTCCTGAATTCTTTGTACTTTGCATTGTTCTGGATTTTCTCAGTGAATGCACAGCTCTTATGATGGGGAAGGAGAGGGGTCTCTGAAACATTCTGCTCTGGATCGAGCCACGTTCTTTCAAAAAGGCTTTGGGGCACCTGGGTGGCTCAGTTGGTTAAGCGTCCGACTTCGGCTCAGTTCATGATCTCATGGTTCGTGGGTTCGAACCCTGTGTCGGGCTCTGTGCTGACAGCTCAGAGCCTGGAGCCTGTTTCAGATTCTGTGTCTCCCTCTCTCTGACCCTCCCCTGCCCATGCTCTCTCTCTCTCAGAAATAAATTTAAAAACAAAACAAAACAAAACTAAACCAAACGGCTTTGGATCCTTGATCAAGACAAGATTGCAATCTGCTCCTTGCTGAAATACTGGGCTGGAGGCCCAGAGCACCCGGAGTTAAGGCTTAACTGTGGCTTCTCGAGGGACTAACCCCCTACCTGCCTGTACACCTCACAGGAGGGGGAACGGAAGGGGCAAGAGAGGCTAGCCGTGGTGAAACTCTTTCCAGGAAATACTATTGAAAGGCAAGGAATGAGCATTTCCTATATGCCCCAGGCATGGAGGCTGCCTTGTAAAGACAGGGACCTTCTAGGTGAAGGAACCCCAGGCATGGCTGGCTCCTGCTTGCTGCGGGCACCATTTTGGGTTCCTCCAGACGCAGTTTCCTGAGAGCAGATCCCACTGCCTGCCCTTCACAAGTGCTGTTTTCCAGCAGGGCCACCAGGAAGGAAAGTGAGGAAGACCTGATGGCCTTTGAAAGAGCCAGGGGAGAGGAGTTGCTATTGGATCCTCTTGGCCTCTGTCTTTGTTTCTCTCCAAGGGCCCTGGGAAGGAAATGATGGGTTCCAGGGATGGAAAATGGGGCCATGTTTGTGCCATGCGCTCCCCGGCCCTTGCACCTGCCTTGAGCCCTGAGCTGCTTGTGAGTTTGCCCTGGGTAGGCAGAGCGTCTAACCAGGGGTCGTTTCTGTTTACCCCGTAGCGTCCAGACTGCCGTGATCAACGTCTTCAAAGGGGGTGGCTTGCAAAGCAACGAGCTCTATGCATTGAACGAAAACATCAGGTACGTGGATGGCCAGGTCAGGCACTGTTCTCCCCCAGTGGGCCTGTGCTGGGGCAGGGGGACTACCTTCCACCGGGAGCCCTATCTTAAGGTGTTTGTCTGCTTGGTTCTTGTTGCTTCTGTTGACTTTGACGCGGCTCATGTGGCTCTTAAGTTCCGAGATCCTTACCTGTCTAGACTTCTGCTCCACAGATGGTTCATCCATTTATTCTTGTGTGTAGCATCTGCAGGCGGGGGGGGCAGAGGGTTCATACACAGGCAGATATCACATACTCTGTAAAGATGGATTGTGCCCTCCTTAGCCATTCAGCACCATGTTAGGCAAGATGGTCTCACGGTTGGAACCAGACTGCTTGGGATTTTGTCACTCGTGACACTTCTACCAAGTGACTTACCAACTCCTTTGTGCCTCCGTTTCTTCTTACGTGAAACAGGGATGAGAAATGTGCCTACTTCCGTAGGATTCTTACGAAGGTTTAAATGGAGTTATACTATAAATGACCTGTTAGAACAGGGTTGGAGCATACTGACTACTGGTAACTCATTACTGTCTGTGTTGTCACTGTCATTTCTGTTAAGTCTTGGTGATACAGCCCTCAATAGGACATGGTCCTTGAGGGGTTTATTGTCTTCCTGAGTCTTCCCAGTAGAATAGTGCCAGCTTTTCATAAATTTATTCAGTCGTTCAACAAACATTTGGGTGCCTCCTTATTGGCCAGGCACTGAAGAGACAATGTGGGGCTAAGATAGAAGTGGACTCAGCTCCTCTGGAATTTACATCCAGTCAGGGAAATAATCATTAGTCAACTAATCATGCATGTAAAATGTAAAAGGGCCTCTGTGACAGCTGCTGTGACCCAGCTGATGGGATGAAAGCATGTTTAGGTGACTTGGCCTTGCCAAGGCTCCGAGTGGTGATGCTCTACCAATGCTGTCTTCTGGAGGATCAGTGGGTATTAACTAGGTGAAGAGGGTCCTGCTGGTGGGAACTGCAGGTGCAAAGGTCCTGTGGTGGCAATGAGCAAGAAGCCAAAAGAAGGCCTATAAGCATAGAATACCAGAGGCTGGGGGGGCGGGGGGGAGGTGTGGTTGGGTTTGTGTCTTAGTGAAATGAGGGCAGAGATGCAGGCAGAGCCCAGAGCACTAGGACCTCTTGGGGACAGGGTTGCACATCAGCCACTTAATGCCCTGGTGTTCTTTCTTCCTTCTTTCCTTGCTGGTGTGTTAAGGGCAGAACATCAAGGCTAAAGCTCCAACCCTGGAGCAGTCAGAACAATAAACAAGGCCATTATTTAGTCCTGTTTACATTTAGTTAAGACCTGTGTTAAGGGTCAGTGAGGTGTTTTAAGAGCTCTGCTTTCATTAAAACCTTTAGGGCTCAGAAATAAACCAAGGTGTGTTGAATTTCTACCCAGGAGCTGGAATTTCACATGATAATTACACAAATATGGGAAGAGACAATAGGGCCTGTCTAGCCCAAGGCCTTTTACAGAGGAGGAAACTGAGTCCCCACGAATTTGAGTGACAGGGGCAAAGCTAGGTCAGCCAACCTCTGGGTTGCAAGAAATCTATTTTACTCCAAGAACTGAGATCCTGGCCTCTCCGTCAGGGTTCTTCAGCTCACAGTGGAGTATAAACAAATAAAACAGTGACTCAGGAATGTGCTAATTGTTCCTCACTGTGGAAGGCTGATCCTGAAATTGTACTTAAAATCTTTGTTTGTGGGCAGCGAGGAAAAGTACCGGCCACACCAGATTCCGCCAACCCCTTGAGCCCAGGGGCTGCTAACTCAGAAGCCTTCAGGTGCCAAGTGGGTGCTCAGAGGTGAGAGTCCACCCACTGTCAAGGGGGAATTGCCCTGGCAGGACGCAGGGCCGGTGACATGAATTTCCTGTTTTTAAATGTTTTTAAACATAAACATGTTTTTATGTTTTTAAACATAAACATGATTTTAAATGTTGACAAAGAATCCAGATTTTCCCCCAAACATTAGTATAAGTCAAACAAAACACATCTGTGGGCTGAATGTGACCAGTAGGCTACCCATTGGCAACAGCATGCTTCAGGGCCTTGCTATTGGGGACTCTTCTAGAAGGCACGAAGGCTACAGTAAAAAAAAAAAAAAATTTTTTTTAAATCTGCACGTGGGTGGCTTAGTTGGTTGAGCATCCAACTTTGGCTCAGGTCGTGATCTCACAGTTTGTGGGTTCAAGCCCTGCATTGAGCTCTGTGCTGACAGCTCAGGGCCTAGAACCTGCTTCAGATTCTGTACCTCCGTCTCTGACCCTCCCCTGCTCATGCTGTCTCTCTCACTCTCTCAGAAATAAATAAAACAGTAAAAAAAAAAATTTAGAAGGCACGAAGGCCACAAGTGGGGGAAGGGGGTAAGGAGCTCCCTGGGATGGAAGTTCCAGAAAAAGCACTGGGCACCTTTCACATTCCTCGGCCCATTTGAGCCTCCTCATAGGCCTGTGAGGCAGCCATTCTTCTCCTAGTTTATCCATAAAACTGTGGGTAAGAGAAATCAAATGACTTGTTCAAGGTCACCCAGCTATGTGAAGGGTGGAGTCAGGATCTGAAGTCCTGGCTGATGCAGGCACCTGGATTAGTTTGCCTGGGCTGCCATAACAAATACCGCAGCCTGGGTGGCTTAACTAATAGACATTTATTTCTCACTGTTCTGGAAGTTGGGAAGCCTGATGTCAAGGTGCCAGCAAGTTTGGTTCTTGCTGAGACCCAGTCCCTGGCCGCTGGCTCACCGTGCCCTTAGAGGCCTGTCCTTTGTATTCAGCAGCCTCTCTGTGTTTCTTCTTATGAGGCTGCTAATCTGATCTTGAGGACCCCACGCTCATGACCACATTGAAACTGAATGACCCCCCGGAGGCCCTGTCTCCAAATATCATCACGCCTGGAGGGGAGGCCTTCAACATGGATTTGTTAGCAACACCTGTGTTCTTTGTACCATATCGTAGAGTCTGAGAGGTTTTAGGCTGGAAGAAAGGTTCACCCGATGGTCTTGGCCTTTTCTTCTGCATTCCTTTCACAAGGCCTCTGGGCAGTTTTGAACAGTTTTCAGGCTGGTGAGAAGTATGTGTAGTTGGGGTTTGACACTGATTGCCCCGATATGAACTGAGCCCAGAATAAGTCAAAACTATCAAAAACCAGAGTTTCAGTTACCACTATTCTCTGGTCTTTTCTAGGAGACCTTCTATTCTCTGGTCTTTTCTAGGATAGTGATTAAAATAGAGATGGGTTTTCACCTCACACTCATAGCTCTATGACTGAGAATGTGAATCGCATCCTGGACGTGTGTGTGTGACCTGCTCCCAAGTTGAGTAAAGTGAGTTGGCCTGCACGTGTGCCCACATCTGCAAGTGCCTGCACGGAAATAAACACCACTGTCCCTTATTTCAGCAATTAAAATGCCAAAATGGACATGCCACTCTCTGGTTATGTTAGGGTAGGCATTTGGGTTTTGATTTTCCTTTTCTTTGTTCTTTTTGAAGACCTGTTCACAGAATAGGTCCATAAACTCAACAGGGTTGAGGCATGACTGGTGGGGAGGGTGTGTGTAAGGGTCGGGGCACAGGACAGTAGGCACGTAGAGAAGAGAATGTGGAAGGAGGGAAGACCAGTGATTCTCAAGCCCACTTTGCAAACAGTTGTGATATGTCTTTGTGCCAGAAGATGTGTGTGGGTCCAATAGAATTCTTGAATGTGTTAAGAGAGTAGCATCCTGATTCAGAGACACTGGGGATCAAGTTTAGACTAGGTGTGTGACCTTGGGCCAGTTACTTCGTTTTTCTTGGTCTCTGTTTTTTCCTTTTATAACATGTGTATAATAATAGCATCAACCTGATGGTGGTTTGGGGGGATTGACATAATGCTGCACACATTAGTCCAGGGTCCAGTGCATAAGAAATATTAACCATTATTAGGGCTCCTGGGTGGCTCAGTCGGTTAAGCATCTGACTTCGGGTCGGGTCATTTATGATCTCATGGTCCGTGAGTTCGAGCCCTGCATCAGGCTCTGTGCTGACAGCTCAGAGCCTGGAGCCTGCTTTGGATCCTGTGTCTCCCTCTCTCTGCCCCTCCCCAACTCACGCTCTGTCTCTCTCTGTCTCTCAAAACTAAATAAACATTGAAAAAAAGTTTTAAAACAAATATTAACCATTATTATTCCTATTGTTGTGAGATTTTAGCAATAATAAAGTGATGAATGATGGGTGAGAGCACAGGAGCAGTGTGGTGACTCATGAGTGGTATTGTGTAAAGATTTCTCTAGCAGTTTGGATGTGCGGAGCTGACTTTGAATGAGAGCGGTCCAGGACAGGCCCCTCCAAGAATGTGCTGGACGTGAAGTTTGGGTGAGCCGGAGCTCTGACAAGGAGCCAGCTGTTTCTCCTTCCGCGGAGAAAAGAGCGAGAGGAAATGATTCTTTCTGTTCTCCATTCTACTCAAGCCAAATGGTAATAAACTTTGATGGACTGTCCAAGTCCAGAGTCAAAGCCTAAATCAGCTTCCTGAGGCCACCCTGACCAGTCCTGGCCTTCTTCCTAATGGTGGAGTTAGTACGTGCCCAGGAAATGTGAATTCCTTTACACACTAGCCGATGCAAAGGATGATCAGGAAGGTAGAGGTTTCATGTAAGTAGGTTTTATAATGCAGTTACCGACAATTGGTCTTTCAGTCATTGAGAATGAACTTCAGTTTAAATTTTAGCAGGTAGACTTTGGGGTAGTTATGAGGAAGAACTTTGGTAAGGATGGGCAAGTTCTCAGACACATTACTAGATCAAGATAAGATGTGGAGACCTTTTAAGTACAAATTTATCAGGAATATCACACCTCAATAAAGCAGCATATTTTTCTCAAGTAAGTCCAGGCATATGGTCATTCAGTATGAAGACTATAAATCAGAGCTGCCTTAAAGCAGGGCTTGCGTATTGTTATATCCCCAAAGGCAAGAAGATGACCCTTTAGAATAGACCTATTCTAGTG